AGTCATATCGGGGGGATTAAAAACTGACTATAAGTCATTGGGAGTTTTGAATAGAGCCTATTGTTACTGGTGCAGGTGTGTTCTTGTTCGGAGTTCTGCTAGAGTGAGTTACAAGAACGCTCTTTGATCTTCTCAGTCATCATCTGTGACTGTTTCCTGGATTTACAGTAGATAGCTTCTAATAGAATTGCAGCTGCATCATCCGCCAGTATATACTGTAAGCATTTCTTCTTTTTTCCCAGCTCTCCTCTATTTGTTTCCCAGACAAGTGGATGCAATAATCCAATGCACTGTAGATGTGAAACTCCTACATGCTGAGGTTTGTGACCTCTGCAAACAGCAACTCACTGTCACAGAGAGGCCCAACAGTAGGAGCTCCTGTCTCCACAGCCTCTCCTACATATTTCAGATATGCATTTTGACTGCACGCTTCACAAAGAGGACTTCAATGGGACTCTTTTTACTTGCAGCTTTTCATTATTTTCCAAAAGTAACAAAGGCATTAATCACAATAAAATAAATAAATAAGAGTGCTGCATTAAGGTGGTCCTGTGAGGGAGCACTGCAGGCCTCTCTCTCTTTTTCCAAGGCATTTCCTTTTGTCCCCTTGTAGCTGGGCACTCCCTGTAGACAGGAAATTCTTCTGGAACCTCTCCAAACCACTGCCTCCTAGTCCCTCTTTTTCCCGGTTTTTAGCTAGAAATCTTGGAAGGAGGGTACAGTCTGTCCCAACCTTCAACCTGCATGTAAACAAACAATCTGCCTGTTCCACAAAACGCTTAAGCTTATCCAGTTTCCAGCACTCCCATCTGAGATTGATGCAATACTGCATGCCTGTAATTATTAAGCTGCACAATAAGATGCAATCAACACAAGATAGTACACAGGACGCTCCATTAAGGCACGAGATAATCATGAAAACCCCAGAGGAAAAAAACAAGTGCTTCTTTTCACACCACATTTAAAAAACTACTGAGATTTCCCAGAATGAGAGCCACCCACAGTTCAATGAATGTGCAGACAAATCCCACAATGCCATTTTCTGGCTGGGACAAACAGCCTTCTGTCTTGTTCACACAGTTATTCCAACCCCATCAGCAAATTCACTACCAAAAATATTGTACACAAGGAAAAAAAATAGTTGGTTCTTCTTTCCAGTAAATCTAATTGATGTGGCACTCAGACAGCGTCTATCTCTCAACTCGATTCTATTCAGTCAAATTCAATTCCTTGAACTGATTACATTCAGGAACAAATACTTTTAAAGTTAAGGTGGCTGCATCACTTCTCAGTTGTAATCCAAGAATGCCAGTAACTGCAGTTCATTGTCTATCCGTTAAATCATTAAAGTACCTTTTATTAGCTACACATGGCTGTTTATCGTTTATGGCTGGATTGTAAATTCGAGCACGCTCCTGTTTCAAGTATTGTAGTATTGTAACTGGAGATGTGATAGAACCTGTTTGTTTTCACACTGTTTATCTCCTTTAACATTCTCATATATGGGTCACTGTGTCACCTATGAATGGGATGTTTGATTACATTGTAACAGGAATAACTGTAGCAGAAAATAATAGCTTTTAGGAAAATGGCATTTTAATAGGAAGAGAGATTAGGGAAGTCTCATTTCAAAAAAAGATTCAGAACAAGTTCACTAAAAAATGAACATGCAAACAGCAGCTGCCCAGTTTTTTATCATTTAAATGTTCAGATATAAGATTTAGTTATTTCAAATAAAAACTAAAAATAAGGCCATAGATCTTCATTTTCTTTTCTGCTGCAGCAAGTCTAATCAGATGTTTTGCAGGATTTTGTACTGCGGGCAATTTTCAAACTTACACAACTGCATGTTTGTGGGGAAATACTTTGAACTAAATCAGTAAATCATATATTCCACATCCCAGCAATATTTTACTCCCGGCACTGAAGAAAATTCCAAACCTTTACTGCTTTTCACTATCACTGTTATAAACTCACTCTCAACAAGCTTGCTTACACACAACACTATGCTGTGATATACTGTAAATACGGCGTTTGCATGGTGATTATGAGTGTGCGTTAGGCAGAGAGCGCGAGAGAGAGATATAGGGAGAGAGATAGTGGAAGAAGGGGGAAGGGGAGGGAGAGACTTTGTTGTGGCTGTTTTTTTAACTCCCTTTCTCAGAAATCCTGCCCCGAGGATGAACGCAGTGTCCTTCTGCAGAGCAACAAGATTCCTGAAGTGATTTGAGCAGGATTTAGTCTTCCAGTAAGGCAACAATGCATCTGTCAACACTGAACCTGAAGTGTATATGCACGTAAAACACAGATTTTACTGGTATAATCTTCTGTATTTGCATAAACAGAAGGGTAGTGTTAGGGGTGATCTGACATATCAACATATCAACTTCAAAGCACCATGTATGTATGCAAAACTGAAAACTAAGAAAACTTGCTGAAGCAAATTCTGTGCAGCTGTGAACTGGTTAGGGAGAAAAATGGCCACCACCAGCTTGTGTTGCATTTATGTCTGCACGCCTGTGTGTGTGTAACATTCCTTTGACTGCATGAAGCCCATACGAGAAAGGGCCCTTCTCATGCCAGCTGAGGTCAGGTCCGGACACCGTGGGGTGCACCCTTCTCCCACCGCGGTGGGCTGAGAGGCAGGGGGAGGCCTCCAGCGCTTCTGGGAAACAGTCTGGGCCTAATTGGAGCCCGACTGGCCTCACATGTCTCCACTTACTGGAGGAGACGGAGGATCCCGCGCAGCCTGGCCTATGAGAGCTCCTGCAAGGGCCCAGGCCTTTCCCACTTCATCAGCATAACCACAGAGGAGTGAATTCACAGGCAGGCCTGACATGACAGCATGAGTGAATGGTGTGGTCTGGTGTGTTTCAGTGCAATGAGGTCAGGCAATGAGCTGTGCCACTTTATGTTGTATTTTTTAGAGGAATATTTGACCTTGATGAATCCCTCTTGGTACAGTTTGTTCCAAGGATCTCCTTTCTGTAAAGTACGTGCACCCTCCTTCCATTGTTCCCTCTCAACTCATTCTGGGTGAAGAGCAATGAAAACCTCCCCTCCTACCGTACAGTGTATCGTGTTCCCCTTCTCACGAACACAAACCTCAACTTCACAGAGAAGACTTACGAGTACATTGTCTTTTCATGTGCCTGCTTATTCACGCTGCAGTGAGAAATACGAGAAGTGCACAGCGCAGATGGTGAAAAACAAAAGTCTTCCCTGCTGCTGCTGCTGCTGCTGCTGCTTCACCACCACCACACATTCTCAAACGTTATTTTTTTTCTCAGCTTTTTTTTTTCTTGCCGTGGCAATGTGCCTCTCATTTCCCATCAGTCACGGTCACCTCCTTGGCCCTGCTCTGTATCATCATCCTGTTTTACAGCAGCAGTGCAGAAAACTGTTTGACTGCAGTTGTGCAAAAATAATTACTGGTAATTTACCATCCACTTTGTTTTTTTCTTTCATAAAATTGCTTTAATATCAGAATGCAAAGGTGCAAAACAGGAATCTTGTTTTGCAAACGTCTTGGTATCATGTCTTTTCAATGCACATCTGGAACAAATTGTTTCATAATTTGTACCCATGTCACAAAACACTGCAGGCTTTGGCCCAGAGGAAAATATCATATAAATAAGCGCATATTCATTCAGACTTTAATTTGGGCATAATTTGGTCTGATTGCAATCTCTCTCAGATCAAAGGGCTTTTGAAAGCAATTCTCCTCGGTTTTTCTTTTGTGTTTTTTTTCTGCTTTTTGCTGCACAGAAAAACACGTCTCAACTCGAATAAATTCTTGCCCAAGAGAGAACTCCTATGTTTTACAATATAACTGCACTTATTACTACCTGCTCAACATTACCCCCGGGACTCTGCAACCCTACAGCTACAGTGCACGTGTCAGTACAATTTAGCATTTACTGTGAATGTTCAACTGGGACTGAAGCTGATTTGAAGGGTGTTTTTGTAGCTTAAATATTTATACAAATGGCAGTCTCCTCTGCCACATGTAAGGTGCTAAAAAGTGCTTTTTCAGAAGATTTGCGCAGAGGGCTCATCATTTAATAGAAAGTACACAGTTAATTCTAAGAGTGAAAACAGCATTTGAGTCAGGACAAATGGCACAAAACACTTATTCAGCTTTTTACTACAGAGACTTTATAGCCACTTCTGCAACCTGGTTGTCCATTACTTATTGATACAGTCATCTTAAAACAAGTGTTTTGTGTGTGTCTCAGTGAGGCATTTACTCTTTTACTGCAGGATGAAAGAAGGAGCACACAATCACAAGTATGCAGGTGAGATTAAGGTAATTTGTTTTTCATAAAGTAATACCCATATGTGAGACTCCAGTGAGTTCCCATTAACAGAAATCCAAATATGCATGTGGTCATTGTATTTTAGTCTTCATGCTGAGAACTACAAACATGCCCTGCTGTTTCCTGCATGCCCGTTCCATTGAGAAAAAGTCATTTCTATTGATTCCTTTTCCAGGCATCATTTAATATGATACATATTCACTTGTAAATATCGACCTTCCCCTGCTGCCCCGACGTTTGTGCCATAAATACTTTAAAAGCAAGCTTGTGAAAAGATATGAAATGATATGAAGCTGTAAATAAAGTCTGGATTTAAACAGTAACAAGAGATTGGTTTTTTTTTAAAATGGAGGGTAAATGTGGTTGGAGCAATGCAAACTGAAAGTTGCGTGAGGAGAGGGAATCATTAAATTTCAAGGCTGCCCTCAAATGGAAGTAGCATTCAGTATTCATGGACATACAGCAGTGTGGCATCACTAAACCCGTAATTTAATTAGGGTTTTATTTGGCAAGTTCGTAATTCAGCTGAAATTAATGAGAAACATAAAAAAAGCACATCTAATGTTGTTGCTTACAGCAGTATGCCTCAACAGTTCTTATCACATACTGCCACCTGCTGGACTTTTACTATTCTAACATGATGTTCGCATGCAGTTGTGTAAAAGACATACACAGCCAGTGTTGTGACAAACATGTCTTTATTTCAGCTTGATTAAATGGTAATGATAGAAACCTCAAATCAAACATTATCAAACAGAATAACAAAAGAAAATGGCACAACTAATAAGAAACAAAAAATGAAGACAAAATACCCACTATACATTTAAGTATATACAACTTTGATAAATAAACCAATACTGTCTAGAATTATGATTGTTTTGCATTTTCCTTATTTCTCTAGGATTAGTGAGCAGAGAGGATGAGAACCAGGAAACAGAACAAACAGGCAGTGAGGATAATGACCAGCAGGCACAGATGAAGAGAAGAGAGACGACTGTGGACGAGAGTAGAAAAGACAACCGCGTGATGCGCAACTCGGACTGCATTTGCAAAACTGTACCTCAATGCAGTTTTTGCTATTTGACAAAATAACATGTCACTGCCGCAGCGTGACCAATCAGCCATCCTGCCCCTCCATCTTTTGCTTCATCGCGGTACATTCCTCATACAACTAGTAGTTTTGTATTGTTTCACATCAGACTTTGGATCCTGAGACGGGGGACAACCCATTCTTTTTCCAGGCATAGCTTTGATGAACCACACGGTTATTTGTGCCCCTTGAAAGCCGCTACAACAATATGTCATATATTATGTCTTATACATAAACAACCTGAAGCACACAGTATTGTACAACAATGAGGTTGGGCTGAAAGCTGAAATTGACTTGTAATTTGTTTTACCAATAAATAGGTAACCAACTACAGAGAAAACGTATATTAAAAAGGCAGGAAACAAAAATTAGATGTTCAACCGGGAGAAGAGAACTGTGAATTACTGTCGCTAACCAGCAGCTTTTCTCATCACATTTCATCTAGAGCGCCAGGCACTGTGCAGCAGTGAAAGTAACTAACAATTACATTTCTTTTTTTGATACAGTAATGGAAAGTGGTCTTATGTTGGTAAGAGGAAAAGAAAAATGTAGGGGAAGAGAAAAAAAAAAAGGGGGCCACCAGCTCTAATTTCCAGACAACTTAAGACCTCAAAATGAAGCCCAGTGTGCCTCTACAAGACCTTCAGGAAATGAACAGTAAGAGCCAGATACAACACTGAGACCCTGTCCAGACATGCAGACACCCTCATGTGCAGCAGTACGTTGTTGTTGTCGTGTCCCCCCCCCCACCCCACCCCACCCCACCCCACCCCCACACTGCAGCTTCACATTTACGAAAACATAAAAAAGTTCAGTCTGGGACACAGATGAGGCTTTCATTCCTCACATGGCTGTCGTGTTGTGAACAGGATCCACGTCAGCGGCGACATGGAAAGTTTCAGAACATCGTAACAATCTCCTGAGTGGCAATTTTTTTTGTTTGTTTTCTTTAACAGAAATATTTTTGTTTTCCTTTTTTTTTTTCCTATAAAATCACCAACAGTTGGTAAGTTAGACCCTCCCTCCCACACCCTGCAGTTTCTGTTGCAAGACCTTTTTTTACAAAAGCAAACAAACACAAAAGACTCGATAGGAATCGACAAAAGCTGTAAAAATAGACACGTATTACCCCGACATATTAAAGCACATCAGAAAAGGTCTTAACTTTTCTTTCACAATAGTTTGGTTGGGGTGCCACACTCTGTCAGACCTGCTGAGTTTAAACGATGTGTGCTGAGGGGGGGGCATCATGAGTGTATGCATGTTGTGTATGTGTGCAATGTATATGGGAATAGGTTTTTTTTAAAGCATCTTCAAAGGGGCTTTTGCTGAGGTACACAGCAAGATTCCCATTCAGCCTCATAGAAAGAGAGCACACACAAAGCTGAGAGAGAATGAGAGACATTCAGACAGGAGGTTAGAGGAGGCTTTGGCCCTGACTTATCTAGAAACCCCAGCATGCTTCCTGTTTTTCTGGCCTGTAAAGTCCCAAAGCCAGACTTAGTATGTATCCTAGAGAAATCCCTTGGAGAAGCCTGAGGCAGACCTCAACCGTGGCCTCTGCACCGGCCCAGATAGGGCGAGCAGACACCTCGGACCCCCCCCCTTCTCTGTCAAGTGCAACGTCTGGAGCGCAGAACACCTCTAGTGCCTCTTCATGGACGACACCTTCTTCTTCCTGGCTGCCAGCATCTCGTAAAAGGGGTCCCTGCTGATGGCAGCTCTGTGGGCACAGACGCAGGGGGAAATGTCAGTAAGAGAAGGATAATTACGTAAGTGTGAAAATTGCTGCACTCACATGGTACTGTCATGTTAGAAATGGTGCACTTGCATGCAAGAGGAGGTAATTTTTCCAGTTTTTATTTCAAACATTCTGAGAAAAGTCGAATAAAATTACATACAAAAATAACATTTGTAATACCAAACCTGTGGTTAAACCAGTTCTTCTTTTTCTTACATACTTAGGAGGACTTGCTTAACATAATAAGCATGTTTTTTTTTTTTTCACCCCCACTGTTCTCTTTATGATCTATAACCAGAAAATGTTCTAAACTGTGGTCTTTACAAGAGGACCTAATTTACCATACACTGCAGTGATCCGCATCTGCAGCAGGAAACACCTTGTGGAAATTTCGGGACATCATGAAAATTTAATCTGCTCCAAATAGAAACATTCCGGATGGGGGTTTTTTTGGTGAAAAACCGCAAGGAAATCCTAGAAAAACATTGTCCTCATGACTCAATAAATTAATGCTAGTAATGGTGCCATTTTTACAAAAACAAAAAATATATATAGCTATAACTTATTCCCCAAAACATAGCAAGATAAAGAATTAAAAGAAAGGAGTAACTTTAAAACCCCTGATCCACAGCAATGAGCCTTACGTGAAAGTTACAAACACAACACATCATACTGTGCTTTTAAAAAGTGAAGGATAAAACATTTACTTGATGCTGTTCATCCATTCATCCTTTTCCTCAGCTGTGGGTGCGGAGATACGGTAGAACGTGTGGTTGCCCTCCACGACACGTCCATCAGCCTCAGTCTTGCATGCTTTTATCACTTGGTCCTTGTTGTCAGGAATGAAAAGCTCAAAGCAGTTCTGCAGAAGTTAAGTGGATGGATGTTAGAATTTATAGGAAGTTTTTTTAATCAAAGGCAAATTTATAAAAATAAAATAAAATATTAGCTCTGTAAAGTTCTATATGTGTATACTGTTCACTTCTGTATATACTGCATTATATAATGCTGCTTTGAGGAGCTAACTGCCAGTAAAAATGGTTGTCAATATAAATGCTTGACTACCTGTCAAGCAGTACTCATTAATTACATGTCTATATTTATTTAATCAGTCAGTTTTCTAGTTAACCCTTAAATGTCAAAAGGAATATCTAATCTAATCTCATCTAAAAAGATATGGAAATTCTGCTGAAATAATCACAGTTGTAGATTTTCTAAAAAGGGCAGCATTGGAGAGAGTCCTTAAATCCAAAACCTAGTCCTGCTCACACTGTGTAATGCCAGAACAAACCAGTAGAGGGAGCTGTACTTACAGGCTTCTTATCCTCCACCTCCTTGATGCTCAGGTTCTCCAGTGGGATGATTCCTCTTGGCTCTTTGTCCTGGACAAATATACAATGTGTAAATTACATAATGCTGCACAAGGGGAACAACAGGACCAGGGCAAGCGGCTTCTTCACTGGGAATGAGAAACTAAGCTGTGCTCACCGTGGTGTACTCGAAGTAGTACAGACAGTTGTCTGTAAGGATGAACCACCTCCTCTTCCAGGTTTTAACTCGTCCCCCTGTGGAGCAAACAGCCAGCGTCAGAGAGGCTCAGCAAGAGAGAGAAAGAGAAACGAAGCGCCGGGTCGAGCAGCAGACAGGCAGACAGATGTATGGGCAGACAGACAGATGACGGCTCCAGAGGACTCCTTTTACCCAGAACATCCCGCTATTCACCCCGATCCACCATTACACCATGCGCTCACCATCACCACAAGAGCATAAACTTCACTTGTCTGGGTATTGTTCTTGAATTAATTCCTTTTCCCTTTTATTTAAATTAGAGGACTTTTAGCTGCTTTTACACCTAACTACTGGTCACTTAACAGTTGATATAATAGCTGATAAATGGCACATTAAAGTGCTTAGTATACTCGCCGTTCTCTACCTGTCGCGCGACAATGTGCACGCCAGCGAGATCTACGTCATTTTGACGTCACGTTGTCGCGCGACAGGTCAGGAACGGCGAGTATACACGAGCCTTAAGGCTAATTGGAGATCCTAAATTTATGTCTCCATAAATGTCTTGGGGTGTCTGAAAATTCTCCTCACTTGCTGACTCAGAGGAAAAAGTCTGAAAAGCCAGAATCGATAGACAGGATAAAGATCTATGTGCTTTGCGCTCACTGAATTTAATGAACTACCACCCAAATGAAGTTACTAAAGGACTGTTATAAATGTGGAAAGCACTCCAATCACTAAATGAGGGCTGAATGTGGAAAGGAAGGAGTGACTGAGGATTAAGTTCTCTTTCACGCCCAGTGGGGGCTCCCTGGTTAACCCTGCACTCACTGATCTGTAGCTGATCTCTGACCCGCTTTTTGTCACCCATACTTCCTGCGAGGGGAAACCTGATCACAGTAACAGATGGCACTCTCGAGCTGGGAGGATGGTATGCCAACAAACTGAGGAGGGCAGGAAGCTCAGCGCCTGGAGCTATGCTCAGCTTCTCTACAGGCATCTCAGACTTGAATTTCCTGTTTTGGCTTTGTTAAGTAACTTCTTGGTTGTATAGGAGCAGTGTCCAGAGAGTTGGGGGATGAGCTTTCTTTCTAAACATGACATAAAGACCTAAGCCTTGTCTAGACTAGGCTATCCCACCACCAATGTTAGTAAAAAGCAGCATTGTGAAACCCATCTACCAGGATAGAGGAGGCTTTGAGGATGTTTATATACAGACATGTAAAACACACTTGTATCATCATATAACAGCATTAGCACTGTATATGATCTCCTATCATATCACAGACATCATGACAGGTCAAACACTTGTCTATGCTTGTTATTATCTACGGACGCCATCAACACGCTTCACTCGACAGGCAGAGATGGAGAGCCCCTCGCACGCATCTCGACTCGTCAGCGTGTTGCGACAAGAAAAGCAGACAAACAGAAAACACAGACGCGATGGCAGAATCACACAGCTGGCGGCCTGAGAGTTGATTGGGTTGGGTTGGAGGTTGTGACTGGTTTCACGGTCACGTCAGTTCCCGTCACTCCAAGAAAAAGAGAGTTGACCTCCTCCTCGTGCAAGAATGTCTGGGACGAGGTGGGACGTCCGAGCAGATTGTTGCAGAGGTGTGTGGATGGTGCTAGGCCGGAGTGGAGCTGAGTGGAGGGAGGCACCCATGCAAGATGGACTGTGGGGGGCTGGGCGAGTAGAGGGAGGGAACAGGTCTTTCTTGTAAATCCTATACAGTTGTTGATAGTTTGATGATATCTTTAGAAATTATTAAATCTGACCAGGAAAAAAATATTGCATCTGGCTTTTTATTTTGTGTGCAAGAACCCTAATTATGTTTAATTGCCACCTTTTTGCACAAATATAAGGGCTCTTAAAATTAATAAGAAAGATGCATAAATTACAAGAAGGCACAGTTTAACTACTAACCATGTGCATTTTAAGCATGCTATATATATAGCATGCATGAATCATTAGAACCATGCCTAAATCCCTTACAGCACACTCCTCTGCCCACGCTTCTCTCCCACAGTTTGGTCCAGTCCGGTCCAGCACCACACCGGGCCGCAGCCACAATGTTACCCTTCAGATCCAGTTACAACATAAGATAAGGAGAGCAGAGGCACATTGTTGAAAAGGTGCAGTATTCCCTTTCCATGCAGCCAGACAGCAAAAACAATAAGCCAATGTGGGTTCATAATCAAATTGGAGAGTCAAGCAAAAGTCCTTTGTTGTGCTCGCTGTATGGAAAAAGGGATAATGCAGCTTCCAAAAAAAAAAAAAAAAAAAAAACAGATCAAAGAGAGTGACCACCACAGCATACAGAGAAAAGAGGGTCAAACTGCTCAGTAGAGTGGTCACAAAGCATCAGCTCCCCGAGCCGAGCCCACAGGGTGGCAAATGAACCCGGCGACCGCTCGGCAACCACCCACAGAGATAAAAGAGCGTGGACAAACCACGAGCTCAATGAGAGACTGAACAGACAAACATCTGAAGTTCAAATGAGTCAATGGATTGACAAGAAATAAAAATAAACAAAATCTAAAAAAAAAAAACCCTGAGTGAACATGTAAAAATGAGGAAGAGAACAAAAGCATGGCAGACCACCAAAAGCACCTGAGAGCTGAGAGATGGACTAGCATTTGGGAAGAGCAGGTGTACATACCTCCTGAGGAAAGACAACAGCCAAAATCATGGGAACAAACAAACAAACAGGAGGAAAAGAAAACAAAAAAAATCAAATTAAATGATAAGGAATTATTTCACCACAGTCCTGTTAATCTGGTTCCAGGGAGGCTTTGATGCACTGCTTTACAGCTTTAATTTTAGCAGACTGAATTTTGTATTGAGGGTCAACAGTTTACATTTCCGTTGTTGTTATATCAGTCCACAAGGGGGAGTTCTACTGTAAAGCACTACATTCAAATACTGCCTCCGCTTGGGTCCATTTCTGTTATATCCAATAATAGACCTTCCACCTGGATTGTTTTGCTCAAATCCGACAATTTGGAGTAATTGGAGAAAGAGTCTTTCTTCACTCCCTTGGTGTAGTTGGTTGTAAAGATTCACAACGATTGAAAGATTCAATTTCACTTCGCACATTTCATGCTTTTTTAATAAATTCATTGTGAATCTGTACAATAGAGAGAGATCTCAGAGGAAATAGAGGATGAAGAGTTCAGAGGTCCAGGGTTGTGCTTTTCTGCTCGAGGTGTGATTGCAACAAATAAAAGTACCTGCTGGCATCCTGTGAAACATTTGTTATGATACAGGTCCCTGTATTTGTACACAAGTTTGTGTCCCAGCATATATTCAAATCAGAAATTAGCAAAAGATCAGGACAAAATGTTCTTTAAAATGCCACTAAACACTTTAATTAGGGTAAAAAAAGAGAAAGACACACCATTTATTTTTGTTTTGCACATTTGTAAGTATGAGCTTCAAATCTCCAATAGAATTTCCTTTGGGAATCAAAATGTCAACGGAAAAAGCAAAACATTTATCGAGGGAAAAGATTCCCTCTCAAATAAAACATTTCTAAACGTTGTGTGTGGCGCAGACACTTGATTTACAAGCTATAAAAGTCAGTATTTGTACATGTTAGTGTATGAATATGCCCTGGTCTAAATAATTCAAAGGGTTCCAGATGTAGTGGTCTGATCTCAAGGCTACATTCATTATACATTAAAGCAGGCAGAGATGTCTTCAGAAGATCTTGGGTGGTGTACACACCTATACACATGTGCCAATAGACACCTTAAAACATGCGCATACACACGGGTTATTGAACTCAGGGGAGACGTTGGTTATCCCTTCATGGAGGATTCTCAGCCTTGTGCTGCTATAAAGCACAAAACAAAGTAATCTATCAGCACTGCCACACTAACAGGAGCGCCATTATTTTGGTATGTGCCTCATAAACTGACATATTTCCAGCGTCACTCACCCAGTTTTAGCAGCCAGCCCTCTCTGTCTGGGTTGAAGAAAGTGTGTGTGAGGTCGTTGCCGTCATCTTCTGGGATTTTGAAAGGCTCATTCTTGATGCTGTCATACAGATTCTACAATAAAAGAAAGTTGACCGTGAATACAAAGCAGGTTTGAGATTAGAGGACTCACAAGGAGAGAAAGACAAGCGCCACAGTGAGCTTTAAAGCCATACTGACCCTGAGCAAGTCTTCAGGTAGGTCTCCTCCATCGTTGATTCCTCTGTTCATGGAGATGAATCGTTCCACAGTAGGTTTGTCCTTCACATTTGGGTTGTGGAGGCTGGTGTTTAGCATGATGATGGCAAATGACAGGATGTAACAGGTGTCTGTAACACACACACACACACACACACACACACACACACACACACACACACACACACACACACACACACACACACACACACACACACACACACACACACACACACACACACACACACACACACGAAAGGGATGAGCTTTATGAGACTGCAAAAGCCATCTTGCTGTTTCGCATTAAACTGCTCCTGGTGTTTAATGTAGTATTTAAATATGAATGTAAATTAGCTGAGCTGAAAGGACTGCACTTAGGGGACCGCAGTCAAACAGAGAGGAACAGATAGGCAAAGCTTCGTTAGCGATGAGAGTGGGTGGGAGTGAAAGGCTGCGTGTGGGCAGCTAAGTATGCACGTGTGTTTCTGGACGTGCCCTCTAATGTGTGTGTGTTCGCTAAAAGACAACGTGGCCAGCACACGGCTGACGCAGCAGCACTTTATCTGGCCCGTTAGGCTGTTGAGAAGTCCCATGCATTATTCACATCCATCTGCATCCATGTTAGAGGCGGTTGGGTGTCTGCTCTGGGCATTATTTCCCAAAAGCCAGACACCGTTCCATAACACAACTCACATCAGCAGACTTTGTGTCTGATAAATAAAGCAGTTTAGATCTCTCTCTCTATTAGGTCTCAGTGCAATATGGAAAATTAAGTGATTCAGGCAGACAAAAGTTTATCCAGTATAGTACCTTAAAAATTAAGAATTTGACAGTTAAAATGAGCTATTATTGTTATTCTGATTAGGAATTTTAATTATAGTAACTGTATTTATCAATACTGCTGAAAAAGCTGGCCACAAACACTGAATGCTGGGCTGTTTGGCATGACTATGGCTACCTGTGGACTGGAAAACGCCAGGGTTGCATTGGCAGTAGCGTTGAGCGAAGGCCTCCATCATGCGGTCGATCTTCTGAGCTTCTCCCGGTAGCCGAAAACTCCACAGGAACTGTCTGTCAGGGGACACAGCTCAGTAGTCAGCAACAGAAGCATCACTTCCACTGTGAAAATGCTAAACGAGCTCAAGGCACACGACTGAAACCAACAGCTGCATCTTTACAATTTGCAAATAAGGAGACTCAAAATATTAGACTTAAAAAACGGACTATATCACACAAAACTATGAGGATCTATTTAAGGACTTAGTGAGTATGTAACAGACCTGAGGATGCAAGTTCCTGGGGAGATGCTGTCTTACCTTAAGGCCTGAACCAGGTTGAGGTCTGTGAACTCGTGAAGCTCCACAAAGGCATGGAGGACTTGGATATTGAAATCATCTCTACAGGAGACACAACATGACAAACACCTTTACTTACTGCATAACCAAGACAAAATAAACACACAAAAGTGTAGGACTGATTTTCTTCAATATCAATCAATCTGCCCATTATTTTCTCAAATAACAGACTCATTGGTTGGTCTGTAAAATATCAGAAAATAGTGAACTATTACATTACACTTTCCTAAAGCCCAAAATCAATTCCTAGTTTTGTCCAGAACACAAAGATATTACATTTCCTACCACATAAGACAAAGAAAAGAAGCAAATCCTCACCACTAGAAGTTTGAATCTGGGAATGTTGAGGGGCGGACTACAGCGGTCCAGTAAGATCTTTTCTTGTTTTTGTTTTAAATTTTCAAACTTGTAGTGTTCAGCCCCAACCGACCCTGAGGGCTCAAATCAGGGTGTGATCTGGCTCACATGGGCTTAGGAGATCTGTGACACACTGCATTCTCCCATCAAGCTCAACAGAAGAGGAAAAACACCATCCACCTCCCTTTCATTTATCATCTAATCTTGATCATGACATCATTCTCGACCTCCATGCCCTTCAGAGTAAATTATCTGCGCTATGGGATCATGGGAAGGCTCTAAGGAGCTCTCGTTGACTGAGTCATATCCAGTCACTACTGGTCCCAGTGGACGAGTGACCAATCGTATCTCAAGGTCCCGCACTGCTTCAGCCCTTCCTCACAGAATCAAAAACACTTGGACAGCTTGATAACTGAGAGCATTCATCAACAGCCTGAGCTCCTTTTCCTGGTTCGACCTGCAGACCACACCCTAAATGTAACACTGCCTGCCCTATAGTCCCTGAGCAGCGCATACCATACATCAGGCCCATTACGATTTCCTGTATTATGTGTTTGCTCTAACCAGGATGGTCTGAAGGATGATTCAAACACGTGTATCCCAAATGTGAGTCTCTCGATAGCGGTACTTGTGAATGAGTAAGATAATAAGAGACAGATGGAGGTTATTGAGTAACGGACATAGTCCTGAGAGGATGATCTAAATGTGGGACCAATAAACTGTGTTTGGGAAAGGATGGGCGTGTGCCTGACCAAGAGGAAACACGGCAATACGGAAAATATGCACTCGCTATTTGATGCTTTTATCAACCACGTGGATGGGTGCTGGTGAATGATGATAGAGTGCACGAGAGGGAGACGGTAAGATAGAAACAGAAAAAAACAATAATTCAGTCTTCATCCTCACCTCTCTCCGAGGTAATCTCCAATGGCGGTTTTGTTGAGGCCCTCGCCCTTGTAGAGGAACTGAGCAATGTCATCACTGGTATTCTTCAACAAGTCATTCTCAATCAGGAACTGGATCCCCTAAGAAAGAGACAGACCCCCAAGTTACATCCTGCTTATGAGAATAAGTTACATTTCTGAAGAATCAGAACAGTTACTTCCACCTACCTTTTTGGGGTCCATGTTAAATTTCTTTCGGCCCATGGCCACCTGTTTATTCCTCTGCATATTTTTCCTGGAACGTAAGAACGGAGTTTGTTGTTAGTTTCTCTTGATGTGAACATAATAAATATATAAACAAACAGTGGTATGTAAGTGTTTCAAGGGTGCAACTAACAATTATTTTAGTTATGGATTAATCTGAAGATCATTTTCTCAATTGATGAAACAATCGAAAATCTAAATATCGGCATCATTGTACTTATTCGTCAAGGCTCAGACCATTGCAAAAAATGTATTCACTTCATTTCCTGAAAGTGTCTTTCCCATTAACATGTTCCATTTGTTTGGCAGAGACCGGCCTTTCCTCCCCCTCAACTGTGATGACAAAGTGTTGATAAAAGTGTTTAACATCATGCATATGGGAACATCTCATTTCTCAGGCCTTGAGTTATTCTGGGGTCAAAGTGCACTCCAATAGTCCTCCATCACCATGGTTACATCTCCATCCCCAGCCGGTGAGAGGTCACCACTTCTTCCCACTGATTCACTCACACCAGCATTCCTTCGCCTTTTGTCTGCCAAAGTCCAACACTCGACTAAACAGACGCAGCCTATCATGTACCTTCTTCGATAAATAGATCACAGGAGGAAACTTTGATCACAAGGTGCTGTAACCCTTAATGGGTTTAAGATCCAGGAGAGAGTGCTTTAGGATTATTCGGTATGATGATGGGATCCCTATCCACTTGAGTAGACCAAACCCAAGCACTCCCTCCCCTGGGACCATGCATTGTCTGCTTCTGCCCGTACACCCACTGCATTATTCAATGAGGCCGCCCATCTTGGGGGTGTGCCTGATGAAACATTTAAACTGCCTTAAAAGCATAGCCAATTTGGGGAGCGTATTTGGTGTGGCGGGATGGCCCTTTGGCCATCAAACATTAATAATTGACAGCTTTATTTGCTAAGTTAATAGAAGGCAAACAGCAAGTCAGTTTAGGCAAAACAGAGTGGGTAATGTGTGAGTTGAGGCGAAGGGTTGGGTCCCTTTTTCTTACCTCTCCTCAGTGGAACCCAGGTTCTCAATCTCACTTGTCACTTCTGCTATCTCATCCTTCAGCCGCTGCAGAAAAGACAGAAGTGTTAGTCTTATAAATGTTGCGAGTATGACGTAAGATTAAATTTATCATCGTCTACTAATTTCCCTGACACCAGGAGGCGTGGAGCAACTCAAACAACATGCAAAGTGTCTAAAAACACACAAGGGCTCTATTAAACAGTGCTGAGGGAGAGGCTATCATGTCCAAATCACATTTGTTTGTCTGTAAGAGAGGTGGACTTTTATCACATACTATAAATACTCACATCAGTGCCATCAGCTTAAGAAAGAGAGCAGAGTCACTTCTGAATACACTACTACACATCCAACTTTCCTCAGTTCCCTTAAACTAAAAACGGATAGTAACTCTCTATATCTCATATCAGCGAATGTGTTTGCATTTGTGTCCTCTCGTAAACATTCTGAATGTGATTAGGCGGAGAACATTCGGGGATAACCTTAATACAAATGGAGTAAGAAAGCATAAAAGTGGATTATATTTTGTGTGGCGCTTTAGTGATTAATGGCCTTAGAGGCAGATTTAGTCGATCAAGCCAGACCCGCTGGTGCCAGACTGGCGCAGTAAGGGCAAAGTAGAGGTTAGAGGATGGAAAGGGTGACGTGAGCTTGATAAAAGTGTGGAATAATAGACTGTTGTCTAAGAGAAGTCCTATTTACAGACAGAGCTTAATATTGATCATGAGAGGCATCAACACTTCAAGTAAAGGTTACAATCATTGCGCCTCTTCATTCATACCAAGCTACAGTGTTAGTATATCATTTCTTATGTGTAATACCAACTCACTATAGGCCAAACCACAAAGGGAACATCTGTGTTTTCAAAGCGCAATCACAACACATTCCTCAGATGTTTGCCTCCGCAAACAAAGGCAGTGCTCATACAGGAAAGCGGGTGGCTGTGGTGGTGGTGGTGGTGGTGGTGGTGGTGAGGGGGGGCCTTGACATGCCGGACCAGCAGAGGAGGGTGTGGGAGTTGTTGAGGAGGAGGAGGAGGAGGAGGAGAGGGGTCAGTATGCACACTACAGAGGAGGTAAGGCGGAGAGGAGAGGATTGAGGCAGCAGTGGTGGCCATAGAGGGGGTTAAAGGGGCAACGATGGTGGCCAAGGCGTTAAAAAAATGTTTTTTTTAAAATCGGATCACGCTTCCAATGTTTGTCTGTCAGGGCCAGCGGAAGTTGCCCACTGGGACATCAGGAGGCCAACCTTCAACCAGCATGACAGTCTGTCACCCCTGTGTATCATTTGCTTTCAGAGATGGTCACCGACTCACAGAACTGACCTGAGAAGCTCGCTTTGATAATCAGCTGTCCTCTGAGGTCAAGGCAAAAGCCCAAAACATTATCACGAGCTATGGACAGGAATCAAACAAACCACTTTATGGAAATTTGGCCGAGCTGATTTGAATCCTGGATCTCTTTGGAAACCAGGGAGTACACAAGGGATATTCAACTAGCTGCATGAGCATGTTCCTCATAAGAACATAATCCTATTTCATCTGTATGCAGAATGATTTGTTTGCCTTATTTTTATACTCACGTTATATTCAAAACCATATTCCAATAAAAACAACCAAAAGAGATTACTTGTAAATGGAGGTCTTTGGTGACACTACAGAACTAAGCAATAAACAGAAATGGCTTGCTAAGGAAGAGAGGACTTGGCAGGAAATACTTCACATTCCACTTGAGGTCAAATGATTTAAGCACCCCTTGGAAAAGAGAAATTTCTACGACTGGATGAAAGTGAATCAAAAGGCAGAGGAGTCACGGTTGTGGCTGAAGGCTGTGGAAGTGAGCCAAATCTCTGAAACTTGTAGGTCACAGAACTGAAGATCCTGTTGCCCCAAGAGCCTCTAAATCTCATTTTAATGGGTGGATCACTAAAATATTTCATTAAGATCAGCCGGACTGGATATAAAGTTTAATTGGATCCAAGCAGCATAGCTTTTACAGACAGGCAAAGTTACAGCACCCTATATGAGTTGCAGTTGGGTAAAATACTGTTAGTGAGAATCAAGTAGTTTATCTTCTTTAGTGAGACTTTGTTTAATGAAGTCTGCTTTTTGTACTCATCTACTTTCTGTGTTATATATATATATACTATATATAAATATATATATATATATATATATATATATATATATATATATATATATATACATATATACATATATACATACATATACACACATATACACACACACACACACACACACATATACATATACATATACATATACACATACACATACACATTACAAAAGCCATCATATTCTATTCCAGTATTACCTGAATGTCCTCCTGCAGCTCCTGCTTGCGCCGGCGGATATTCTCCAGCTCCTGCTGCTCCTCTGGGGTGAGGTCGTCCGGCACTGGAGAGAGATGAGAGAGAAGATGAAGCGTTAGGACAGAGAAGCCGAAAATATAATTCACCTTTATCCTTTTCTATGCATATATATCCCTTGAGGCTAGTCCCTGAGGGTATCTCAGTGCACAAAAATAACATTATACTCTATATTATTTTCCTTGATATCAGAGGGTGATGGAATGCCCACGGCAAGAGGTGTGGAGTACACACACAGGACATGCAACGACAGTCATGAAAGATTGTTTCTCAGCAGCAACTGATACTTGGTCAGAGAGAAGAGGGGGGCGGATCAGACAGTAAACAGTCTCTATCACCTACAGAAAACCAAGTCTAAAGCAGCCAGGTGCTCTTTGAAGGAGATTCATTTAACTTTTGTGTGTAATCTGTACGACTAAATGAAAGAGCTCAGGTCAGCCAAGCAGCACACAAGCATCAGCGCCAGAGTAGCACAAATGTGACAGGTCTCAAAGCGCTGCCAGTCTTCCTGTCACTCACACTACAGGCTGTTATAATTAGTCTGTGCCGAGGACTGAGGGTTGAGCAATGTCCCAGCTGATGGGGTTTGTGTGTCTGTGTGTGCGCAACCTCTACCTGCACTCCAAGCATAAAGGGACAACACTAGTATCAGCACTCTAACCATAACAGCAGTCCAAGCACAATCCCTGTTTCATTTACTTAAGCACTGCGCTGGAAGCATTTTCCCTCGCTCTCCTGATTTTATTTCAGTGTCTATTTGTAAAGTTCTTGCATCAGAACTGCTTGGTAATCACACTTAGAAGGCAATAATTGCCTGATTGAATTAAATCAATTTATTATCATACAATTTTGAAAGAATACAGTTAAAATGAAACTTCCTGTGCATTTCTGAAAACATTTGTGATGCCCGGAGGGAACCGATTTCATCCTTTTGATATTTACAAAAACTTGACATGCTGAAGAAATGCATGATCAAAAGCACAACAACAATGATCTCTTCAAGTGAAAGCAGACACTTAAAATAATGTTGGTCTCAGGACAGGTCCTAATAATGAACTAATAAATAGTTCATACATATGTTACTATGTAGTTACTTTATAATACAGTCCACTGCAAACTAGACACCTGGTAGTATATGCTATCTAAACACACACTATTGATCAAGCAAATTATGGGTTCTGGCAAATATGTGTATTTTGAGTAGGTGACAGCATTGTTTAATGATGGAGGTCATTTCAAGAATTTCCCGTCTATGAACACTCACTGCTTTTTTTCTTCTTCTGTGAAATAAAACAAGACTTCCTTTTGAGCTGTAAGTAACAGCCAACTATTTAGCTCTCTGCTTCAAAATAACTGCTTCAAAGGGGTTTTTTGGTGACATTTGCAGTATCACAAGACTAGAGATATTTAGCGGGAGTGACATTTAAACCCCCTAAACTCAGAGTGTCATGAGCTGCTCAAGCCATAGCGGTTGTTAGTTGAAAGATCCTCTCTGTTACAGTGTCTTGTTCTCTGATTCCCCCAGTGGCCAAGCACAAGCCCCCTCCTGTGACCTCTCGTTCTCCCCTTTATTACCACAGTACAAGGGTTCAAAGGTTAAAGGGGTCGAGGCTAGGGCCGACTTGGTGGATCTCTGCAAACGGTTAACAAGGTAATGGTTATAGAGTGGTGGAAGCTGAGGATGGAGGAATCTTTGACATAAGGTCTGTAATTACTAATTCCGCAAATCTCTATGATCCCACCAATGAGCCTTTTCCTTCGACCTTTTATTAACCGTTAAATAAATTTAATATTGGTCCCACATAATCTTCAGACAACGCAGAAATAAAACTCATGACTAACTGAGTGGCTAAACTGTGGACACCGTGTACCTGCAGTAAAAGGTCAGAGGAATGAAGGTTACAATAGCTAAACAAAATCTGGCACAGCAATCAATAACGCAAGGACGAGGCCAGCCATCCAAAAATTATGAGCTTCATTGTGCTTTGAAACACACACACACACACACACACACACACACACACACACACACACTTAGGAAAATACAAGATCAGCTTATTTCATTTTCCTGTAAAAGAAGAATAAATCAAAAATCCTCTGAATATAACAGACATCCTAAAGAGAAAATAATATGCTGCATAATGAAGAGCACTTATTTTAATAACAGAAGGTATGCTAACCTAAACAACTTGAGGCAAATACCCATGACATTCACTGGAATGTCTGCTAATATTTAACACAGGGATAATAGACAATGGAAACCAAAACAAGAGCCTTATAGCGGGCTGTTAAGGAGTTCCAAAACAAAGCCATGTTGTCTTCCCGTCTTGTTTTCAGACAGCTGGGGGAGCACGACAGTCCACTGGAGGATGACCTTTCACACATCATACCTCACAGCCTACAGTATCCTTAGCGAACCAGCCGCATCCATCCAAAGTGTTCAAGGGTATCCATGGAAACCATGGTAACCTCTGCACAACTGGTCTCACTTACAGGGGGAGCAACAATATTTGCACATTGTATTTTTTTGTCAGACAGTTTCCCTCGAGAGCAGCTCATACTGGAGAAGACGGATGTTTTGTTACAGACCGAGATGCACAAAAAGTCATAACACACACACAAAACAAAGTGCTGACAGGTCTGAGAATGCATGCGTCTTCTTGCATTCAATGACCCTTTCTCCCAATCGACTGGATGAGTTAATGTCACACTGAGTAAACCCAGAGCAGGCCATGTGTTCCACGGCACAAACAAGAGCGACAGAGAAGATGACCTTAAAGGAGAAAGTCCCTTCCTCTTTCTGGAAATATGATGTGAGGTTGGGCGACTGGCAGGCGCTGAAGGGAGCCACGCCACACAAAACAGGACAGCGGGACCCAACACAACACAACCACAGCATTCCTGTCTTAGAGGACAACCACTAAGTGAAGAAACTGACAGGAGAGAGGAGTTGCAGAAAAGCACTATAATTTGACATAGAGGAGACAGAAAGAAACTGAGCAAAGCAATATTATCATTTGAAGATGGAAAAAAAAAAAACATCTGTTCACTTGCACAAATAAGGAGCTGGTAGGAAATCTGTATCTTAGACCAGCAGCAGGACAGATGCAGGCTGACACCAAGGTCCTGTGATTAAAGAGCCACCCTACCACACCATCTGACGTCAACCACATGATCAGACTTATTCAGCGAGCCAATCAGGTGTACACGTCACTGCCTTCCTGACTCCACCCAAAACAATCAAACCACATCAGGGAAGGGAAAGGCCCCACCCACGCATGTGCCAGAGGTGGGCACCAAGTGGGTGTCATTTCCCAGAAAACAGCAAATGACGGGGGGAACCCATCCACTTAAGTAAATGCTGAGAGTGTTTTTTCTTCTGTCTGGGAGCACTGTTTGGCTATCGTTCAGCAAACTTCTGCAGTGGTAAGGCCAATGAAAAGAGGTTGTAATCAGAAACAGACAGGGAATGAGAAAGACAGAAAACAGAAGGGCAAATAGGGCAAAGAAATAGTGATGGAGAGCACCTGTTTCTGTAAAAGTGAAAGACAGATTTAATGATACCTTAACAATATCCTTCTCTTGCTGATGCAGCGACCTTTGAAGAGTAAATTATATGAGTGGAAATGTTCTGTTTTTCCCCTCCATATACACAACATGCACTATTCCTCATCTGCCCCGTCTACATCTGACTTCAGAAGCAGAGAGCCCCTACAGCAATCTGATAGGGGCAAGCCAGTTTGTAGTGATTTCCACAGCCTGAAAGAGAAACACGGGCCGCCCACATATTCACTCCTTCAGGGACTCATGTTGCTTGGAATACAGGTCATTCAGGGGAATCACATGCACATGGAGGCGTGCAGTCGTGCACAAACACCAGGGTATAGTCACATTACACTCACATACACACACATAGGACACCCACACATCGACGCCCAGGGCCGACAGAGAGTGTCCCCCGCTGTGCCTGGCACTGTGTCAGTGCTCAGCAACTTGCTTTTTGTTTCAGCTATCGACACTAACACCATCTGACTGGAACTGACCGAACTATGATATTCAGACTGAATCCCTTACATCACTGCAAAAATGTCTATTCAGTTTCAGTTTGAGAAATTATTAACCAAGTTAGTATCAGGAAGAAAAGCAGGAAACTTAGTGAGAACTAGATACTTATTTCAAGAAAAGGAATGAAAAATTATACCCATTTGAAACCAGAAAATACCCCTTTCCACTAAGTCCTTTATTGGACTAAATAACTTGCTAAGACCAAGTGTGATTTGAAAATCTGTGAGTGGAGAGCAGATAATGACAATATCCCTATGCTAAGGTACAGACACAAGTGCCCCTTTGCCAAATCTGGAACAGCATAATCTGAGCTTTGTTCCACCATGCCTAGGCCTTCATTACTACTGAGTGCTGTTTAACCTAAATTTATGACTTAAAACACGCAATACATTCCCTTAGAGTATAATCACAAACCACTCCTGAATTGCTGCATCTCTAGTCCCTTTAACAATATAAAAACTTTTCTTGTGGCACTTTTGTGGCTTTAATATTTTTAAATCTGCTTAATTTGAGCCATAAATCCCATTTAACATATTTGAGCGTGTATGTCTTTTGCTTTTCAGAGTGTCTGCAGAGTTTCTAGATGGGTGAAGCAGTTTTTAGAGAGGGCTGGGTCAGCGGAGAGCACCAGGGACGTGACATCAAGGGAGATACCAATTATAGCTCCCTCTCCCACAGCGGCGGAGCCCACTAATACACATCCTGATTGCCATCCTGGCAAAAGAGGCAGACGTCTCATTTCCACCCAGATCACTGAAGAACTCTCCTTGGAAAATAAGGAAATTAGAATTCTGAGTGCTTGTAGGATCTCTCAGCCACCCCCCCTCCCTGCAGATGTGACCCAATTTGGGGAGCTCCTCTCAACACAGAAGGACTCAAAAAAAAAAAAAAAAAAAACTTATTAACTTAATAAATGTTTCACCTAGGTTGCCCCTATTGACACAGCTACTGGACAGGGTCACA